GACTGACTGAATGAGAGAGGGAGAGATGTATGGATGGCTATAGGGCTGAGGCTTTAGTGGGGTTAGTTCAGGTCAGCCAGGCTGAGGAACATAAGGTTAATGTCCCCAGCTTGAAGCAGCCAGAGGCCCCACAGCGCTCCTGGGGACACAGACCATTGAGAGGGACAAGATGTCTGCCCTATTTACATAGAGGATAATTGCAGGAGTCAGTCAGTGTAGCTCTGCCACCTGTCAACACCGCAGGTCAATGAACACACTGTCTGGAGCAGCTCCTGATGGTGTATTGCTTGGGCTAGAACATTCCTCCATAGGTTTCAACAGGAGCTTCTCTGTTACTATTCCCAGTGGGGGACGAGAGGGAGTCTTCTGGCATACGACTGTGGTTGCGTCTGTGTGTTGATCTCCTGTTCTGCAGCAAGTGTTTCTGCACCATTATACAAATGACCAAAGTGTCTCTCTCTCTCTGCTTGACAAAAGATAACACATTGTTTCATTAGCACTGCCACTGAAAAAACTTTTGCCACATTGGACATAATTTGAGTTTGAGAGACAGCATTACGATTAATCCATGGCTGTTTCAAGCATTAGGCGAAAGCTTGAGGAATATTAGACATAATCTACTGAGTCCTGGGAGTTGAGAAGGCCTGCTGTTGAAGAAGTGTAGAGGGCCAAGCAGCCAAGCAGGAGGTTAACACAACTGATACCAGCAGAAGATCCAATATAGGTGACGACACTGCCAAAAAAAGAAAGATTCAGTTAGTATAGTGGTTCAAATTCCAATCAAAGCCCAAAGCCATATATATATATATACAGTGAGGGAAAAAAGTATTTGATCCCCTGCTGATTTTGTACGTTTGCCCACTGACAAAGAAATGATCAGTCTATAATTTTAATGGTAGGTTTATTTGAACAGTGAGAGACAGAATAACAACAAAATAATCTAGAAAAACGCATGTCAAAAATGTTATACATTGATTTGCATTTTAATGAGGGAAATAAGTATTTGACCCCCTCTCAATCAGAAAGATTTCTGGCTCCCAGGTGTCTTTTATACAGATAACGAGCTGAGATTAGGAGCACACTCGTAAAGGGAGTGCTCCTAATCTCAGCTTGTTACCTGTATAAAAGACACCTGTCCACAGAAGCAATCAATCAGATTCCAAACTTTCCACCATGGCCAAGACCAAAGAGCTCTCCAAGGATGTCAGGGACAAGATTGTAGACCTACACAAGGCTGGAATGAGCTACAAGACCATCGCCAGTCAGCTTGGTGAGAAGGTGACAACAGTTGGTGCGATTATTCGCAAATGGAAGAAACATAAAAGAACTGTCAATCTCCCTCGGCCTGTGGGCTCCATGCAAGATCTCACCTCGTGGAGTTGCAATGATCATGAGAACGGTGAGGAATCAGCCCAGAACTACACGGGAGGATCTTGTCAATGATCTCAAGGCAGCTGGGACCATAGTCACCAAGAAAACAATTAGTAACACACTACGCCGTGTAGGACTGAAATCCTGCAGCACCCACAAGGTCCCCCTGCTCAAGAAAGCACATATACATGCCCGTCTGAAGTTTGCCAATGAACATCTGAATGATTCAGAGGAGAACTGGGTGAAAGTGTTGTGGTCAGATGAGACCAAAATCGAGCTCTTTGGCATCATCTCAACTCGCCGTGTTTGGAGGAGGAGGAATGCTGCCTATGACCCCAAGAACACCATCCCCACCGTCAAACATGGAGGTGGAAACATTATGCTTTGAGGGTGTTTTACTGCTAAGGGGACAGGACAACTTCACCGCATCAAAGGGATGATGGACCGGGCCATGTACCGTCAAATCTTGGGTGAGAACCTCCTTCCCTCAGCCAGGGCATTGAAAATGGGTCGTGGATGGGTATTCCAGCATGACAATGACCCAAAACACACGGCCAAGGCAACAAAGGAGTGGCTCAATAAGAAGCACATTAAGGTCCTGGAGTGGCCTAGCCAGTCTCCAGACCTTAATCCCATAGAAAATATGTGGAGAGAGCGGAAGGTTCGAATTGCCAAACGTCAGGCTCGAAACCTTAATGACTTGGAGAAGATCTGCAAAGAGGAGTGGGACAAAATCCCTCCTGAGATGTGTGCAAACCTGGTGGCCAACTACAAGAAACGTCTGACCTCTGTGATTGCCAACAAGGGTTTTGCCACCAAGTACTAAATCATGTTTTGCAGAGGGGTCAAATACTTATTTCCCTCATTAAAATGCAAATCAATGTATAACATTTTTGACATGCGTTTTTTTGGATTTTTTTGTTGTTATTCTGTCTCTCACTGTTCAAATAAACCTACCATTAAAATTATAGACTGATCATTTATTTGTCAGTGGGCAAACGTACAAAATCAGCAGGGGATCAAATACTTTTTTCCCTCACTGTATATACACAGTGCATTCGGAAAGTATTCAGACCCCATGACTTTTTCCAAATGTTGTTACGTTACAGTCTTATTCTAAAATTGAATAGGTTTTTTCCCTCACCAGTCTACACACAATACCCCATAATGACAAAGGTTTTCAGAAAATGTTGCAAATGTATAAAATAAAATAAATCTGAAATATCACATTTACATAAGTACTCAGTACTTTGTTGAAGCACCTTTGGCAGCGATTACAGCCTTGAGTCTTCTTGGGTATGACGCTACAAGCTTGGCACCTGTATTTGGGGAGTTTCTCCCATTCTTCTCTACAGATCCTCTCAAGATCTGTCAGGTTGGATGGGGAGTGTTGTTGCACAGCTATTTTCAGGTCTCTCCAGAGATGTTCGATCGGGTTCAAATCCGGGCTCTGGCTGGGCCACTCAAGGACATTCAGAGACTTGTCTCAAAGCCACTCCTGCGTTGTCTTGGCTGTGTGCTTAGGGTCGTTGTCCTGTTGGAAGGTGAACCTTCGCCCCAGTCTGAGGTCCTGAGCGCTCTGGAGCAGGTTTTCATCAAGGATCTCTCTGTACTTTGCTCCGTTCATCTTTCTCTCGATCCTGATTAGTCTCCCAGTCCCTGCCGCTGAAAAACATCCCCACAGCATGATGCTGCCACCACCATGCTTTACCATAGGGATGGTGCCAGGTTTCCTCCAGAAGTGATACTTGGCATTTAGGCCAAAGAGTTCAATCTTGGTTTCATCAGACCAGAGAATCTTGTTTCTCATGGTCTGAGAGTCCTTTAGGTGCCTTTTGGCAAACTCCAAGCGGGCTGTCATGTGCCTTTTACTGAGGAGGGGCTTCTGTCTGGCCACTCTACCATAAACGCCTGATTGGTGGAGTGCTTCGGAGATGTTTGTCCTTCTGGAAGGTTCTCCCATCTACACAGAGGAACTCTGGAGCTCTGTCAGAGTGACCATTGGGTTCTTGGTCACCTCCCTGACCAAGGCCCTTCTCCCCCGATTGCTCAGTTTGGCCGGGCGGCCAGCTCTAGGAGGAGTCTTGTTGGTTTCAAACTTCTTCCATTTAAGAATGATGGAGGCCACTGTGTACTTTGGGACCTTCAACGCTGCAGAATTTTTGGGGGGACAATTCCTTCGACCTCATGGCTTAGTTTTTGCTCTGACATGCACTGTTAACTGTGGGACCTTATATAGACAGGTGTGTGTCTTTCCAAATCATGTCCAATCAATTGAATTTACCACAGGTGGACTCCAATCAAGTTGTAGAAACATCTCAAGGATGAAAAATGGAAACAGGATGCACCTGAGCTCAATTTTGAGTCTCATACCAAAGGGTCTGAATACTTTTGTAAATAAGTTATTTCTGTTTTTCATTTTTAATACATTTGCAAAAATTTCTAAAAACCTGTTTTCGCTTTGTAATTATGGATTGTGTAGATTGATGAGGAAAAAAATTCATTTAATACATTTTAGAATAAGGCTGTAACTTAACAAAATGTGGAAAAAGGGAAGGGCCTGAATACTTTACGAATGCACTGTAAGTGAACAGTGAATTCTCCCATACACCTGGGCATTATCATGACCAACAAAAGCCAACTATACTGAACAAAAATATAAACGCAACATGCAACAATTTCTAAGATTTTGCCGCGTTACAGTTCATATAAGGAAATCAGTAAATATAAATAAATTAGGCCCTAATCTCCTTAATTGCAGAAACACTATTCCCAAATCTAGAAATGAGTGGATTTCGTGCTTGACTGGACACTCCAGTTGTAGCTCATCAGGCCCTCTGTTAAATCGGAAAATAGGAGGCATTGGGCTTTGAAAATAAAGGAGCTGTTCCTAATAATAGCACAGCTACCTCAGGTTCCTGCATGAATATTTATGAGGGAGTATACAGACTGATCTCTGCTCTCTCTCCATTTATCTCTGTCTGCTCACCCCCCTCTCTCTATTTCTTCCTGTCTGCTTTTTTTCTCCATCCCTCGCTCTCTTTCTTTCTATCTTTCATCTCTCTCCATCTTTCTGACTGCAGTCTCTCTCTCCATGTTTCACTCTTCTCTCACTCTCCTCTCTGCCCCTCTCTCCTTCTCTCAGACAGTAGCTGTGATGACCCTTGTGTATCACACCACAAAACATAACAAAATCAAGGTGAACATTTATTGAATGCACCAGAGTACAATAGGAGCAAAGCAAATCAATCTGTGTTGGAGTCAAAGCTTTCCAAAGCCTTGTGTTCTCAAAGGCAGGACACAATGCTGAAGAGCCAAAAGTGAATGTCTAAATGATTCAAAATGAATTAATTTATTCACATTACATAATTACCAATATGCTGCAGTAAAGTCTACACAAATTACACAATGGAAGAGGGAACAAGGTATTTTCACAGCCTCAAGTACACCAACACAGAAACAGGTTCTGGGGGGGATATTTTTCAGTTTGTTGCAATTTAGAGAGACAGTATGATCATAGGAGTATAATATAAGGAAACCTAAACCATTTAAGTGTGAATGCTAACCTTGACACTGAGACCCCTGTCCTCCTCCTCTTCCATCCTCCCTCCATCTCTCTCTGTCCGTCAGGGTGTGGTGTCTCCACGGTGCATGGAGGCCCGCCCCCAGACACCATGGCCGCCACTCCCTCCTCCTCCCCCAGGGTCCTGGTCAGACTCTGGTTGGCTCTGGGCCCGCTCAGGCTTGGGGTTAGGTGTGCAGGGAGGGTCAGGGTGCTGGACAGACATGGTCCTCCTCAGGTGGGTGCGTTTACACAGGAAGTCAGGCTTGGCAGAGAGGCCGAAGGAGCCTTTCTTCAGGACCATGCGGACTGAGGGGGTCTTCTTTGGTCTGGCCCGGTGGCCAAACTGCAGTGAGGAGAGATGCACTGCATAGCCATCACTTAGGAACTATGAGAGAGAGAGAGAGAGAGAGAGAGGATAGAGAGAGAGAGAGAGAAGAGAGAGAGATAGAGAGGAGAGAGAGAGAGAGAGAGAGAGAGAGGAGCGCGCGCGCGCTCGCGCGCGCTCTCTCCCAGTTCGTGCTCGTCGCTCTGCGTCGCTCGCTACGCGGCTCTTCCCTTTCGTTCGACGATCGCCCTTTCTTGAGAGTGGCCATGTTTGATAAAATAATAGAAGACTAAACAGGTAGATAGAGATGGAGAGTGACAGGAAAGAACAAAAGCCACAGACAGACCGGAATAGATACATCAAAACACGATCGATAGCTATTAGTGAATCAATGCCATTAGCTTGAACGTTAAAGAAAAGTAGAAGAGTGTACAGTTCCCTGATGTCTACCTGGCATTGAGTCTGGTACTTCTTGGAAGGCCTGCCCACAATATAAATCTGGGAGGACTCAGACCCAGCATGTTGTACACGGAGATGTCCTTCATGGAGCCATAGGCTGAGTTGATCTTAATGTGACACTGGCAGAGAGAGAGAAAAGAGAGAGAGACAGAGAGGGAGGGTGAAAGAGAGAGAGAAAGAGGGAGAGAGACAGAGAGAGAAGAGAGAGACAGAGAAGATAGAGAAGAGAGAGAGAGAGGAGAGAGAGAGGATAGGATAGAGAGAGAGAGAGGAGAGAGAGAGCGCTCTCTCTCTCTCTATCTCTCTCTCTCTCTCTCTCCTCTCTTCTCTCTCTCTCTCTCTCTCTCTCTCTCCTCTCTCTTCTCTCCCCCTCTCCTCTCTCCTCTCCCTCTCTCCCCCTCCCGTCTCTCTCTCTCTCCCCATCTCTCCCTCCTCGCCTTCTCCTCTGACTCATAGATTCTGCAGGAGTGCAAGAAGTAACACTTGATGATGGGTTTGGCACTTTTATGCAGTGCGACCAGAGGTTATACTGCTGTGCCTACAAAGTCAATGTCAATGTGAGAACCAAAGAAGTGTGCGTGAGAAATAGGGGAGGAAGGGAGAGAGAGAAAAAGAGAGAGAGAGAAAGGGAGAGAAAAAATAGAATGAGAGACATATAGAGGGGAGAGAGAGAAAGAAAGAGAGAAAGAGACATACACAAAGAGAAGGAGTCGAGATAGAGAGAAAGAAAGAAAAAGAGATCCACTGTATTATGAATGTATTGTACCTCCTGCACTAGGTTCCTGAGGAAGATGGTTTTCTGTCTCAGTGGGTCGTGGACCAAGCCCTCAGAGAAGAAGATCATGCCCTGGGGGAAGTTGTGTTGGGACAGCCATGACACCACGCGCTGCTTCTGCATGTCTGGCCTCCCTGTGATGTAGATGATAAGATAGCCCAGGTCCTGCCAGTGTCTGGACACAAAGATAAATAGATACATTCCTCTGAGAATTACCGTTTTCACTGAACATAAACACAGACTGACATCAATAATATTCCTCTGAGATTTATAGTATATTTTCTTATTTTTCTCAGTCATCTTTTTAGTGTTTGTTTTCTCCCTTCATGTATGGTCCTCTGTAGCTCAGCTGGTAGAGCACGGCGCTTGTAACGCCAAGGTAGTGGGTTCGATCCCCGGGACCACCCATACACAAAAATGTATGCACTCATGACTGTAAGTCGCTTTGGATAAAAGCGTCTGCTAAATGGCATATTATTATCATTATTATTTTATATTATATTATTAAAGGGATACTTCAGGATTGTTGACAATGAAGCCCTTTATCTACTTCCCCAGAGTCAGATGAACTCGTGGATACATTTTCTATGTATCTGTGTCCAGTATGAAGGACGTTAGAGGTAGTCTTGCGAACCAGTGCTAACTAGCGTTAGTGCAATGACTGGAAGTCTACAGCTGTTCAGGTAGACTTCCAGTTATTGCGCTAATGCTAGTTAGCAATTGCTCTAACGCTAGTTAGCAACTTCCTTCAACCTCCCTTTAATGTGACAAAATAAAAGGATAATATTCTGAGCTGAACAGATTACTTGTTGGCATTGCAATTTAGTTATAATTTTCATTCCATTAATAAGTTATCTCTGCTTGAACTGCTCCTTAATCAAACAAAAGCTGGAAGGCACATTCACAAACACACACATTCACAAACACTCGCACACACACACTTGGAGGCATCAGTTACCTGACGACGTCCACAGCTCCGGGGCGGACTTTAGGGTCGCTGCCCATGATGGAGACGCTAGCAGCGAAGGAGCCATCGATGCTGAACACCACACACTCCATCCCCCTGGGCAGCACCGTCAGGTAGGCCTCCGCACTCGTCTGATCTCCCCTGGGGAGAGAGAGGTAAAGAGGGGGAGAGGAGGGAGGATGATTGCTAGGTATGGTGGTAATTCACAGCAGCAGTACCTCTTGGGCTCATTGTTATTCAACAACCTGTGAGTACACTGTTAGAGCTTCACAGTACTTTAGCTCCATCACTGATATGGGCTGAAATGTAATGCAGTACTCCTCCACTTTCATGGGAACTCATCCCAACCCACATCCTTTTCATTATTGATACAACCTCTAACATACTGTAACAAACATGCTGTGGTTACATCTCAATAAGAAATAAAATGGAGCTGTTTGCTTACTTGACCACCATTTTGATAGGGTAGACCCCGGTGGCCAGCTTCTTGCTCTTGGGGATGGTGTAGACCACTCTACCACTACTGGTGGTCACCTCTGTGTCAAAGTGGACCCAGCGGCCGGACTGGGGCTGGGTCATCAGGAGAATGTCCACCTGGGAGAGGACAAGATAGATTCATGATAAGATGATAAGATAACGAACGGTTCAGGGCAGCAATTGAATTCCCTTCAATAAACTTTAGTGTTGACGTCTGTCAAAGCAAATTCCTTTGTCAGACCACTATAAGAGAAGTATCAATTTCACTTTATTGACACGCAGACACTTTTAAAAGTGTTGCAACTATAGTGTTGTAAATAGTGCAACTAGTGTTTGCAAATTATGCAAAAAGGTTCAGGAGCAAGATCCTTCGTCAGAGCACTATGGGTTTATCTTTATTGACACGTAGACACGTTTAATGAATAATGTTTATTGCTGAGGCATGTTGTGTCATGTCGTCACCTTCTCTCCAGTCAGAGTCACCATGTCCAGGGGGCCGTACATGAACCGACCAACCAGAGTCTGTGGTCCCTCCTCTGTGGCGATGACATCATTCACCCTGTGGTTGCCAGTCACGTTCTGCATGAGGAAAGCGATTTATTGTCACTTCTCTTTGGCTTTGTGTGCATCCCAAATGGCACCCTACACTCTTAGAAAAAAAGATGCTATCTAGAACCTAAAAGGAGAACCCTTTCAATAACCATTTTTGGTTCCAAGTAGAACTCATTTGGTTCCAGGTAGAACCCTTTTGGGTTCCATGTAGAACCCTTTCCACAGACGGTTCTACATTGAACCGAAAAGGGTTGTACCTGGAACCAAAAAGGGTTATCCTATGGGGACAGCAGAAGAACCCTTTTGGAACCCTTTTTTCTAAGAGTGTATTACCCATATAGTGCACTACTTTTGACCAGAGACCATGATCCCTGGTCAAATGTAATGCACTATAAAGGGAATAGGGTGCCATTTGGGACTACGCATTTGTCTTTCATTACTTTCTGCATCACTCCTCCTCAGATGTAGTGTTTACATCGGCAGGAGGAAATGGGATGTCAAAGAAAGGATGACAAATAGCCCTACTTTTTCCCTGTTTTGATGCGATGCATCACATTTGAGACGTGTGGCGAATGAGTCTCAGAAGAAGGCTGTCAAATCTCCATGAACCCTGGTTACAGTAGGAGTGTTGTTCTGGTTCCCCTTCACTACATCTCATTTCAAATGGCAGTATGAATAACTCTAACTGAGCTGAGCTAAGGAGAAATCCTCTAACTCTATGATTGCGTCCCAAATGGCACCCTATTCAATATGTAGTGCACACTACTTTTGACCAGGGCCCATATGGCTCTAGTCAAAAGTAGTGCACTACATAGGGAATAGCATGCCATTTGGGACATAAACCAACTTTATTGCTGAGCTGGTGGGATTTAAATAGGAAATGAAAGCAGAGGAGTTTGCAGATGTAATTCCCTGGCTCTGTTACAGTGATGCCATGCTGCATTACCTCAGTCATAACCACAGGTGGTTGGTGATAGAGTGATTGGGTTTGACTGAAGGAAACTTTCAGGAACACTTGAAGGGCAATTTATAAGGGTTGTGGTGCAGTAGCGTCTGTACTTTAAGGGCTCTATTTTAACAAACCTAACCCAATGGTAAATGTTTGCGCTGGCGGTAGCATTATAGGTTCGGGGGTGTTTGAGAAATATTTTAGCTATTTTCACAACCGGAATTATGGGAGCAGTAGTTGGCAGTGGCGCGAAAGGGCTGGGTTTTGATGAATGAACAAGTTGTGGGTGTGTCGAGGCTTGACACCTCACTGGACAATCAGAACGTGGTCCATGGCTAAATATGTGGTTGCTTCAAGTTGTGTATTTACGTATTGTGTTGTCATCAACTCCAATTTGAATGTTAGTCCGTTATAGCCTAGCTCGTAAATAGCCTGCCCCATATTTGCTAAATATTTTGAACATGTTTGCCGGCCACATTGTTCTAATTGCATTGCTTCAATATGGAATTACATTGTTAAACATAGGCTATAGCATTCACACTGATATAAGGGCTAGGCCTACTGTTAATTGCAGTCTGGACATGGACATGCCAAATGTAGTCAATAAGCAAGATGAAATTCACTAGGCTATTGATAAGGCCTAAAAAGTGTATAATTCTAATAAAATAAAAAAACTTGTTTTAAATAGGCTATGTTTAAATAAAGTTAAAGGTACCATACTTGCTCCTCGTGGGCTTATAATACAGACAAGGCCATTTAGACTATGGAGGGTTTTACGCACATCCAAACTTTTCACAGGAGCTGGATAAAGATCCAATATAAAGAGAAATGTCCACTCACTGTTATACTGCTCCCAAATATAATGTTTTATAAACATCATGAAACCATCAAACAGATCATAATTGCCCTTCTTCAGAAATAGCAGATGAAATTGCATTGCATTCGAGCCATGTACGTTTTCTTAACATAAACTCATGGATGGTGAATCTTTCTATTAAGTTAGATTTTTAATCAAATTAAATGGAAAACAATCAATCTGTTTTTTAAAACAACAACAATATTTCTAAATAGGATCGGGTCAGAAGCGTGATATCATAAATCGCATCACTCGTTCCATGAGCATAAGGCAATGTGTGCACATGTAGGCCTATGGTCTCTTCGGGCACGAGGCATGGATGTTTGTCTTATCCATTGAAGATAGTTTATTAAACACTATACAGTAGCCTATAATAGGCCTAGTTATAACAAACATGTAGCCAATCTAGTTTTTTTATTGGCTTCAACATGGAAATTTTTGACTACACACATTGCATTCGCTTTTCGTAAATGCACCGCATTCGAGCCATGGACAATTGGACATTGCCCAAACGTTATAATAAGATAAGATTACCATCACCATTGATATGGCCTGTTACTGACTTACTAAGGTAAACAAATGAACAGGCAAATAGTCTAGGCTACAAGTGGATACAGCACCAAGGACAGTAATCGGAATTCCTGCGATTTGACTGATAGGTCCAACAGATGAAAGTGGAAGATGCAATTTTTTTACAAAATGATAAAGGAAAAACAATAAGCAGTCTATTGTAATAACTTGATGTTCCTAAACAGACTTCCTACAGTCACTAAAACCTTTTATTCAATGGGCATCGTACATATGCCTAATGAAGAACAAGCTGCATGGACATAAATAATGTCCAATATGAAGAAAGGAATGCCTGTTGACTGTTTTGCTGCTAGTGATATAATAAAACATTGGTTATAGGCTACTGTTTAGGTTACTGTGCGCTTCCGCTGGCAAAATCGATGTCATAACCAATTGCACCAGGGTTGGAAAATAGCAGAACGCTGGCTTTTACAAGTCAAAATTGCCAAAGAGAGGGCGTTAGACACTAGCGCCGCCTTAACATCAGCCAAAAATAGAGCCCTAACTATCTAATGAAACCTGACGTGCTTTTTGGGGCATTTCTGAGCATAATCGATGTCACAGAAATACACAGTGTTCCCAAATGGTACATCGTTTATTGTACATGAACTACCACATCATATGCAGCGGAACTGTATCAAGGTCTCCATAATACTCTTAAAACATAGCTCCATGAGCCTAGTTTGAGCTCACTAACCAATGTTGTAGACTGATGTGATGTGTTAGTCTCTGTATCATGAATAGTGGGACCTCAGCTAATGTCATCTAATGACGCAGGTAAACATTTTGCATATTGATTAAGTTTGTCAATTAATCCTCGCTAGTACCGAGCCATGCTGAAGCTGTGGCACACACACACACACACACACACACACTGGAAATACACACACAGAGTTCTACACACTGGCATGTCTGCAGCTCTATCACTATCCCCTGGATGAGCTGGCAAAGCCCAGATGAAGTATATACATGTTACCAGGAGACTGTATAGCAATACAGCAATAACAGATATCATATTCAGGTCATGTTCTCCAAGCTGCTCCTCCTCCAGCTGTTGCTCCTCTACCACTTACACAAGAGACAAAGATCACAGGCTTAGAGGCTGGAGCAGTGCATGTAAGACACAGTCCAAAAATAAAACCTACGGCCAGTTTCCTTAAACATAGATATGTTCCAGTGGGCCACGCAGTACATAATATAACAGGACAAAAGCCCATTGTTATTGAATTATTTCCTTTGAATATACTGTGACTAAAAGATGGCCCAGAAATAGACTGGGCTGACCTTTCAGCCTGGCAGTAGTCATGTTGTCTTTTATGGTGGAGTATCAGTTCATTTTTTTGTTGTGCTAGCATCAATGATCCAAGGTGAAACAATGGGTCTTCTTTCTGACATTTAGGTCTCAGCCCACAGATTGACACACAAGAAACAATTGCACAAGATTGCAGAAGATCTTCGCCCATTCAGTGTTGGTGTATTTGTTTGCTCAACTAAAAGAGACCAAAGCTATTGAGGCAGAAATTACTACAGCTGTGAAAAGATGTGTGAAGCTGATGGTAAGAGTGCGTGTGTACCCGTGTGTGTGCGTACGTGTGTGCTCGCGTGACTTAGTGTGTACGCGCACACATCCTTATCGCTTTATCTCTGACTGAGATTCAATTAGAAAAAGTTTGATTGTCTCGAGCAGATTTCAGCTAAAGATTATTCAATATTTATTGGAATTTCTTCATACAGGGATTGAACAGAATATAATCTGCTTCTTTCTCCAATACACACAGTAGGGTGTGTCCAAAATGCCACCCTTTTCTCTATATAGCGCACTTCTTTTATCCAGGGCCCTGGTCAAAAGTAGTATTGTACACTATATAGGGAATAGGGTGCCATTTTGGACACAGCCATAGAATCCACAGTGTGGGGATAAAGGTGATATTGACACTTCCTACCGAACTGTCCTTTATCTTCCATGAAAAACTCATGTTGGTTTCCTCACCCTCAGTTTGACAGGCGTCCTCCTGCGAAGCCACTTCTCCCGTGGGCTAGATGGAGAGAAGGGGGCTGAGTCCTTGCTGTCAGCTTCCTGGGTCTTCACACTGTCGCATCGCATGAGCTGCATGGACACACGCATGCACACAAGCATGCACACACACACACACACATACACACACGGTTCATTAATCCACCGCCGGCCTAGTCCACTCAGTATGACGGCACTTCTCAAACAGAATCCCTAGTCTACATTTAGGCACCTGATGCATATTTATCAGTGGAGTGGCATACATATACTAGACAGTCACATGACCTACAGACAAAACAATGACATGGAATTTTCATCCTCTGGTGCTCTAACACAATTGAGAGAGAATGAAACTAGGACTGTCATTATCTTGAGGCGTACACTGTCACAGCTGCTAACAGGAGCTCATTTGTCAAGAGGAAGATTGAGGCACATTAAGCTAGAGGATGATCCGTTATGAAGTGGACTACATGTACATAAAATCTCAGAAGTTGAGAGAAAATAACTTGTCTATCTTTAGCCTAATCAATGTGTAGCCAGGTAAATGAAACAGCCGGGCTAATGAAACAGCCGGGCTAATGAAACAGCCGGGCTAATGAAACAGCCGGGCTAATGAAACAGCCGGGCTAATGAAACAGCCGGGCAATGAAACAGCCGGGTAAATGAAACAGCCGGGCAAATGAAACAGCCGGGCAAATGAAACAGCCGGGCTAATGAAACAGCCGGGCTAATTATGTGTTTTCAAAGAGGAGGAGAGGAAAGGACAGGTCGCAGTGAGGGAAGGAGCTTTACTCCATGACTGCATTAACGAGATCCTAGTTTAAGGTTCAACCTCTTATTACACAGCAATTGTGGTCCTCTGTAGCTTAATTGGTAGAGCATGGCACTTGTAACGCCAGGGTAGTGGGTTCAATCCCCGGGAAAACCCATACGTAAAAATGTATGCACACATGACTGTAAGTCGCTTTGGATAAAAGCGTTTATAAATGGCATATTATTATATTATATTATAAAGAATAGGTCATTGATTTTACTTAATTCAAACTTGACCAGCCGTTAGGTATGGTACAGTAAGTAAATAAAAAGGGCAGTAAGTTTGTGCGAACCACTGGGAGTAAGTTTGTGCGAACCACTGGGAGTAAGTTTGTGCGAACCACTGGGAGTAAGTTTGTGCGAACCACTGGGAGTAAGTTTGTGCGAACCACTGGGAGTAAGTTTGTGCGAACCACTGGGAGTAAGTTTGTGCGAACCACTGGGAGTAAGTTTGTGCGAACCACTGGGAGTAAGTTTGTGTGAACCACTGGGAGTAAGTTTGTGTGAACCACTGGGAGTAAGTTTGTGTGAACCATAAGTTCCATATGTATCCATTTCCCTGATGTAATATCGATGGGAGCTGAAACCCACTGATCCAAGATAAGAATCAGTTTTCACGGCAGAGATAGATAACACTTCTTTATTTCCTGTGTACTCTCTGATTCCCCTCACGTCACTCTCCCACACAAAAGACTGCGGCACCGCAGCAGCAGCAGCCAACACCATGGCTGCATCCCAAATGGAACTTTATTCCCTATAAAGTGCACTTCTTTTGGGCCCTGGTCAAAATAAGTGCACTATATAGGGAATAGGGTGCCATTTGAGACACAACCCCTTACTGTAGTGGGAGGCTGCTCTTGTCTCTTCTCATTGCTCTCTAATTACCAAGTTAAAAGGATGTCAGTGGTCAGGAGGGGTTTTAATAGGAAACGACACACTGGCTGGTTTTACTCACTTTGTGAGGGTCTGAGGATACCAGTAGCAGACCCACACACACCTCCTACATACACATAATACAAGCACACACAAACCCTCACACACACGTATCTACATTTGACATTTTAGTCAATTAGCAGATGCTCTTATCCAGAGCGACTTACAGGAGCAATTAGGATTAAGTGCCTTGCTCAAGGGCACATCAACATATTTTTCACCTAGTCAGCTCTGGGATTTGAACCAGCAACCTTTCGGTTACTGGCCCAACCTCTTAATTGCTAGGCTACCTGCCGCTCATATGCATGCACGTATGCATGCAAGCACACACAACCACAATCCACAGCACAAATAATGACTGTTGATGATCTGAATTCCAGTCCCAAAAGTCAGGACACACACACAGACACACATAAATATGGGGGGGGGGGTGTCTTACCTGTCGGAGCACAAACGCAGCTACATCAGTGGACTCCCAGTAGGAGGCATGGAAGAGATGAGGCAGTGCCACGGTGGGGAAGGAGGTCAACACGTCTGGACAGTACAGAGCATAGTCCAACCTCTTAGAGCCCCACCAGCTACTGGAAACTGAGGTACACACACAGACACACACACAGACACACCCGCACACACACACACACCGACAGACAAACATACAGAAGGGAGAGAATTAACACAGGCATATCAAGATAAGGTTTTCTTGGAGTTATTTGAAGTGATTTGTGGCTACTAATGGTATTATTCATCCGGTCTTTTAGCCACCACAGTATTAGCAACAGAAGTAGGTTAATCTGATGTAAAATCTGGGGAGGCACAGTTGGGTCTCATGAGTCTGGCTATATCTACCCACCATAGATAATTGATAACATTTTGTTACATTTTAGCAGACGCTCTTATCCAGAGAGACATACAGTTAGTGAGTGCATACATTATTTGTTATACTGGCCCCCCGTGGGAATCGAACCCACAACCCTGGCATTGCAAACGCCATGCTCTACCAATTTAGATACATCCCTGCTGACCATTCCCTCCCCTACCCTGGACGACACTGGGCCAATTGTGCGCCGCCCCATGGGTCTCCCGGTCGCGGCCGGCTACGACAGAGCCTGGATTCAAACCAGGATCTCTAGTGGCACAGCGATGCAGTGCCTTAGAACACTGCGCCACTCGGGATAAATTAATAATGTATAAAGCGTAGCCCGAATGTGCCCTTTTGTTCTAATTGCTAATGAGCAGTCTCCCCACCCCCACCCCCCCCCCCTCTCTCTCTCTCTCTCTCGCTCTCTCTCTTCCTATCTCAGTCTTTCTCTTTCTCTTGCCTCTCTCTCTCTCCCTCTCTGTCTGTCTCTCTTTCGTTCTCTTTCCCACTCACTGTTGGTGATGGTGCTACTCATCCGGCCCACAGAGCAGAAGGACGTCTCACTGTCCACGCTGGTCACACTGGCCCTGCGCCCTCCTCCTCCTCCTCCCCTCCCACTGCTGTCTGTTTCAGGGGAGGGGGGCACGGTCGGGGCACCAGGACTGGGCTCTGCCTCCAGGAACACCTCTGGGTGGCTCTGGATACCGTCAGCTAGAGAGAGAGAGGGAGAGAGGGAGAGAGAGAGAGAGGGAGAGAGATAGATAGGAAGAAAGAATGAGAGAGAGGGAGAGGGAGGGAGAATTCAATTATATAACAATGGACTAGTAACGTTCTCTGTGAATCAATGCTGTTACATGGTCTAATAGGAGAGTATGTGTTATTGGCTTGTTTTGTGTGTTCCAGAGGAAGGCCTTGGACACACACAGTGTCAGGTAATTAGGTTGGGCTTGTAATGATTCAGGGATTGTGACCGATGGTGACGACCAATCAACACACCCAACCCCAGGAGCTGGGAGAGAAGTCAGTGAGGGAAACTGTAAACAACTACACTACAGCCCAGATGGACCTAGTTCCTCATCACCTTTAACCCTGTATGTTTGGATGGATGTGTTTGTTTTGTACCCCCTCTGTACAGGCATTGTTTGCTCTGTAGACCTGTAGATGGAAGGAGGAAACTTTTATTTCCCCTGTGATATATATGGTTGTATCAGAGAACATGGATCTGAAGAATAGTCTCTAAGAGACATGGCATAGTAGAAGCAGATTGCATCAATAATATAATTATTAGAGAGACAAGTGACCGCTCCCTCTGTTCAATGATACATTTATGTTGAACTTCACAAGAGCCTCTCTGGAATAAAGAAGGAGAGTGGGAGGGAGGGAGGGAGGGAGGGAGCAAGAGAAAGAGTGATGAAGAGAAAAGAGAGAGACAGATAGACAACAAGGGAAATGTGTAATTTCCTAGACATGTTGAGGCCAATGTATTTTATCTTAATCCATTTCAACTCAACTGTTCATTCTACTTGTTCCGTTGCCCTTATTTTAGCAATAATTGTAATTCCCCCCTTCTATTTTCTTTCCATTCCATATGTCTGTAACAGGTTGACAATATACTCTCTTTCTCTGGCAGTACGATAACTAGGGCTCAGGTCTGGTTGGCATGGTTACAGTTTAGTGTGACAGTACAGTATTGTTGTTTATTGTAATGAAAGGCTGTAGTAAAGGCTATCTGTAGTATAGGCTACAGTGGAGATTTTGCAGGTTTTCCTACTTACAAAGAATGTAGAGGTCTGTAATTTTTATCATAGGTACACTTCAACTGTGAGAGACGGAATCTAAAACAAAAATCCAGAAAATCACATTGTATGATTTTTAAGTAATTAATTTGCATTTTATTGCATGACATAAGTATTTGATACACCAGAAAAGCAGAACTTAATATTTGGTACAGAAACCTTTGTTTGCAATTACAGAGATCATACGTTTCCTGTAGGTCTTGACCAGGTTTGCACACACTGCAGCAGGGATTTTGGCCCACTCCTCCATACAGACCTTCTCCAGATCCTTCAGGTTTCGGGGCTGTCGCTGGGCAATACGGACTTTCAGCTCCCTCCAAACATTTTCTATTGGGTTCAGGTCTGGAGACTGGCTAGGCCACTCCAGGACCTTGAGATGCTTCTTACGGAGCCACTCCTTAGTTGCCCTGGCTGTGTGTTTCGGGTCGTTGTCATGCTGGAAGACCCAGCCACGACCCATCTTCAATGCTCTTACTGAGGGAAGGAGGTTGTTGGCCAAGATCTCGCGATACATGGCCTCATCCATCCTCCCCTCAATACGGTGCAGTCGTCTTGTCCCCTTTTCAGAAAAGCATCCCCAAAGAATGATGTTTCCACCTCCATGCTTCATGGTTGGGATGGTGTTCTTGGGGTTGTACTCATCCTTCTTCTTCCTCCAAACACGGCAAGTGGAGTTTAGACCAAAAAGCTCTATTTTTGTCTCATCAGACCACATGACCTTCTCCCATTCCTCCTCTGGATCATCCAGATGGTCATTGGCAAACTTCAGACGGGCCTGGACATGCGCTGGCTTGAGCAGGGGGACCTTGCGTGCGCTGCAGGATTTTAATCCATGACGGCATAGTGTGTTACTAATAGTTTTCTTTGAGACTGTGGTCCCAGCTCTCTTCAGGTCATTGACCAGGTCCTGCCGTGTAGTTCTGGGCTGATCCCTCACCTTCATCTTGAACTTCTTCCATTTTCTAATAATTGCGCCAACAGTTGTTGCCTTCTCACCAAGCTGCTTGCCTATTGTCCTGTAGCCCATCCCAGCCTTGTGCAGGTCTATAATTGTATCCCTGATGTCCTTACACAGCTCTCTGGTCTTGGCCATTGTGGAGAGGTTGGAGTCTGTTTGATTGAGTGTGTGGACAGGTGTCTTTTATACAGGTAACAAGTTCAAACAGGTGCAGTTAATACAGGTAATGAGTGGAGAACAGGAGGGCTTCTTAAAGAAAAACTAACAGGTCTGTGAGAGCCGGAATTCTTACTGGTTGGTAGGTGATCAAATACTTATGTCATGCAATAAAATGCAAATTAATTACTTAAAAATCATACAATGTGATTTTCTGGATTTTTGTTTTAGATTCCGTCTTCACAGTTGAAGTGTACCTATGATAAAAATTACAGACCTCTACATGCTTTGTAAGTAGGAAAACCTGCAAAATCGGCAGTGTATCAAATACTTGTTCTCCCCACTGTATCTGAGTGCATCCATATTGTTCCAATCAATTATCCAGCTCTGGCAACACTATCTGAGCCTGCCTGTCAGGGTTGGTCCTACAAAGCCAGAGCCCCCTGATGGGAGAGCATAATATACAAGGAAATTCTCAAAGCTGCTAATGAGAACCTTGATGACCTTGTACCTAGCCGGTGGCGATTCCGGTGGGGTACCCCCACCCAGGTAGTGGCAGTGCTGGCAACACTGGCTGCAGTAACCCATGGGGAGGGGGTCACACTCGGACAATCAGAGAGGGGGCTTATTATTGTGGCCCAAGTGGCACAAAATAATCAAAGGTCTGACTGCACGGAGATGCTTGGGGAAAATGGTTACAACGGGGTACCAGAGTGTTTGTGTCTCAGGTGAAGAGGGTGGATCTGAACTCCATCACCTAGGACTTGACATAGATTAAATAGATTAATCAAATCTCACATTGTTGTCCATTTTTGCTCAATCTTGCATGCTTTCTCAAACAGCTGTAACTGTATATGCATTCGTAAATCAGGTCCTTTCTTGAGTTGGGCTCTGGGATATAACAACCGTTGAGCATCTGATCTTATGGTTGATTGTGGAGGAAAGGGGTTGAGTGTGTTAGAGTATGTGCGTGTATGTTTATCCCACATCTGTTGCAAGGGGGTAAGGATGTTAGGGAGAATATAGGATGAACCACAATAATTGTTTGCTAAAATAATAATTGCTTGTCAAAAATGTAATGGAATACAACGGCAATCTGGGTTATAGGTTAAAATCCTACGCATGAACTGCCGACATTATTACGCATATTAATCGATAATGATGGAAAATAAGATATGCAAGATATTTGAATGGATATATTTTTTCAAATAGCTATATATACAGTGAGGGAAAAAAGTATTTGATCCCCTGCTGATTTTGCACATTTGCCCACTGACAAAGAAATGATCAGTCTATAATTGTAATGGTAGGTTTATTTGAACAGTGAGAGACAGAATAACAACAAAAAAATCCAGAAAAAAATGAGGGAAATAAGTATTTGACCCCCTCTCAATCAGAAAGATTTCTGGCTCCCAGGTGTCTTTTATACAGGTAACGAGCTGAGATTAGCAGCACACACTTAAAGGGAGTGCTCCTAATCTCAGCTTGTTACCTGTATAAAAGACACCTGTCCACAGAAGCAATCAATCAATCAGATTCCAAACTCTCCACCATGGCCAAGACCAAAGAGCTCTCCAAGGATGTCAGGGACAAGATTGTAGACCTACACAAGGCTGGAATGGGCTACAAGACCATCGCAAAGCAGCTTGGTGAGAAGGTGACAACAGTTGGTGCGATTATTCACAAATGGAAGAAACACAAAAGAACTGTCAATCTCCCTCGGCCTGGGGCTCCATGCAAGGTCTCACCTCGTGGAGTTGCAATGATCATGAGAACGGTGAGGAATCAGCCCAGAACTACACGGGAGGATCTTGTCAATGATCTCAAGGCAGCTGGGACCATAGTCACCAATAAAACAATTGGTAACACACTGGCCTAGCCAGTCTCCAGACCTTAATCCCATAGAAAATCTGTGGAGGGAGCTGAAGGTTCGAGTTGCCAAACGTCAGCCTCGAAACCTTAATGACTTGGAGAAGATCTGCAAAGAGGAGTGGAACAAAATCCCTCCTGAGATGTGGGCAAACCTGGTGGCCAACTACAAGAAACGTCTGACCTCTGTGATTGCCAACAAGGGTTTTGCCACCAAGTACTAAGTCATGTTTTGCAGAGGGGTCAAATACTTATTTCCCTCATTAAAATGCAAATCAATTTATAACATTTTTGACATGCATTTTTCTGGATTTTGTTGTTGTTATTCTGTCTCTCACTGTTCAAATAAACCTACCATTAAAATTATAGACTGATCATGTCTTTGTCAGTGGGCAAATGTACAAAATCAGCAGCGGATCAAATACTTTTTTCCCTCACTGTATATATATTGAGGTGAGAGCATTGGAAATGCTTTTGGCGGTTGACCTGCTTCTGTTTTGTGGGTGGCACTGTGTGCTGTTTTCAATGGATGGGTCCTGGCCTCTCGGGGGCCTAGGGATTCGGGGGGACAGGGGTGGTATGCTGATCACTGGGATGACGGCCCAACTTGGGATGGTGAGGGCCTTTAGCGGGGAATTAGTGGAGAACAATTGGAGGGTTACTTAGTAGCAATGCAAATATCATGGTACAGCTATATGGACAGTCAATCGCTATGGTATTTTTTATTGGTAAATTTACAAACATATATATGATAAATAGATTTGAAACTTGTATCCCATTATGGTATGTGGTGAAATAAGTATAGCCAGTTATAATTGTAATGGCTTAGCAGATAATAACAAAAGAAGAACAATATTTACATGGCTCCAAGAGAAGGAATATAATATCTATTGTTTACAGGAAACTCATTCAACATGAAGTTGCGTGGAA